TCTAGTGCTTTCTGAAAGCCATGCTTCTTGCAGGGGCTATTCACATTCAAACCAACACATTCCCCAATGTCTACAGATTTTTAGCTCAACATCCTGAGTCACCTCCTGAGTGTAGTGCTCCGCTCCTTGATTTGAGGATTCTAAAAGCCTCCTTCCTGGGACATTGCCCTTGGAGGCACAAGAGTTCTGGAGAGGGCTGGGCTGTTTTGACAGCTTGAGGGACAGCTTTATCAGGTGAGGTGGGACAGGCACTTCCTGATGGGAGAGAGAAGTTTAAAGGACTGTTCTTATCAGTGCTTCAGAAGTAGAAACTCAGTAGTTGTAGTGGTTTCACAGGGCCAGACTCCTGGTGACTGCAGCCAGTGTCTGGGTGTGAACACAGGTAGAGACCACAAAACAAAACAACAAAAAAACAAAACCCCAAACCAACCAACCAACCAAAACCAAGCGACTAAACAAACAAAACTCACCCAAACCAACAACAAAATCAAAAGACTAGCCTGGTCTACAGAGCTAGGTGCAGGACATCCAGGGCCATACAGAGACAACCGCAGCAACAACAGCATAACCCCAGAGAGGTACAAGGAGCTGACGAGCCAGCGGGGCCTCCTCCCTGCAGGGCTGCCTTCTTCGGTTACAGATCTCCTTTAACAAAGGTGCGGAATCCGAGAATAAAAGGACCGGCCCGCAGTGACCTCAGAACCAAAGGCAGGGCACACCTCGAGCCTGGACAGTGGAGAGGCTGTGCCAGGCTCCATCACACCACGGGGAACCTGTGATGTGCTCTCTGAGCTGTGAAAATGGCCAGTCCTCCTGACTCTGTGGTGTGGCCGCGCAGAATCCACCACGCTGGTGTATAGACTGGATTTTCTTTTTTGTGTTTTTTTAGTTTTTAGTTTTCCCTTGTGATTTTGTCAGCGTTATTTTTCTTAGTAATTCAGCATGCTGTGTGTGTGCTTCACCTTCGTTATCATTTCCAGTGCTAGATAGATAAATCACACAAAGGCCTGTATGGATAAAGTTTGTTTTATGCATTTTTTCAGAGTTGACACAAGTATTTTAATGCAAAACTCACTTTGCACACCTCAGGGGTACGCCATGGCTCCTGGATACTCCCGGCGGGCGAGCCTGTCGGCCTGTCTCTCCAGATGAGCTTCTTGACAGTTTCTCATGCCGTGGGGACCATAGGCAGCACTTTTGGATTTATTTCTCAGGGAGCATGGTCTGTCTGCTCATGAGGTCCACCTTAGCGTACCTTGATGATCGCGCTTACGCATACGCGTATGTTCTTTGGCTTGGATTATTGTGTCAGGAGGTGTGGGGAATGTTTTTATGTGTCACAAGTGCATCCTCCCTTGAGGGTGTAAATAAATGTCTGTTGGGCATTTTTGTTTGTTTTTATAATTTTTAAGTGTGTGTATGCATCCTGTGCACAGGTTACAGAACTCACTTGTGGAAGTCAGAGGGCAACTATAGGGTCAGTTCTTTCTTTCTACCATGTGGGTCTTGGGGGCTGAGCTCGAAATGCCATGCTTTCCTCACAAGTCTGTATTTTTAACCCAGAATTAAAAGTTAGGGGAATTATTTTATATTTTATTTTATTTTGTTTTGTTTTTTTTCTGGACAGGGTTTCTCTGTGTAACATTGGCTGGCCTGGATTCACTTTGTAGACCAGGCTGGCTTCGAACTCACAGAGATCCACCCGCCACTGCCCTCCTGAGTGCTGGGATTACAGGCACGTGCCACCATACCCCAGCTAAATTTTAACATTTTGATAGTTCAGACTTTCAAGCTGTTTAGAGTTTGCTGTCTTAGAGATTCTGACGCGTGGGCTTCCCTGTTGGAGCTGAAATGCTTCCGTGTGACCTGACCCGCAGGGAGGTGCCTGTGTCCCCGAATCTGGAGTTGTTCCCAGGGCGCACACTCCAGCCTGCCCTCTCCGCTCTTGTTTCTGTTTTCCCTTCTGTAGTTTCACCATCACCTTGCAGGCTTCCTTTGTCCCTGTACTGCCAGCAAAGGCTCTGGCCTTTGTCCCTTGCTGTGGTCATGGGTAAGTGTGATGGTGGAGCCCTCTGTGTGTGGGCACTGTGCCATCCTCCCTTCTTGGGTAAGGCTCCATAAATGCATCTCAGCTGGCTTACTGTGTCAGCCACGTTGTCCTTGACCCTGGGTGGGAGCACCTGCTAGCCCAGGCCTCCTTCTGTCTCCTGAGTTTCAGTTTCAAAGCCTCTCGTGAAGGCAGTCACAGCATACATGGGCATTCCCAATGTACTGCCCAGCCCTGATACAGTATTTAGAAACGTCTCAGGAAGAGCAGCGCCACCGCTGTGGGGTAGCCTGCTTTGCTTTCTCAGCATCTCTGCTGAGGCGTCTGCTGGCTACTCGCCCCTGCTACTCTAGTGATTCAAGCCCTTGGCTGTTGAGAGTATGTGGCAAGCCAAGTCCACATACGTGTCAAGGACTCAGTACACAAATGTACCAAGTAACCCACCAGGGGCCCCTGTGTGTTCTGTTGTCACAGAGAATACTTAAGAGGCACAGATGTGTCTCCAACCCGATGGCACTGAGGTGAGCAGGGTGGTGAGGCTCCTCCTGTTTGGGAACATGTAGCTTGCAACTCTTCCTGTCTGACATACCCTGAGCTGCAGAGTGGAGCTGTGTGAGCTTGCTGAGGCTCACCCTGCTCTCTGCTCCTGTGTCTGAGCTGAAGATCTGGGGTGTGACTTGCAAGCTTCTCCTCTGTTGTTCCTGTGGGGGGAAGGAGATTGGTCACTAAGGACTTGTGGGTGGAGCCAGACCACTGAAATTGCACAATCAACTATTCAGAAGTGTTTGGCTACACAAGGAAAATGTCATTCCCAGTGGATGCCCCAGACTGGAAAATCTTAAAATGTCAGGTTCTTGGTTTTCCATGGGAAGGGAAGGAACTGAAATATTCCAGAAACATCTCATTCTGGATTCACTTGTGTTATGCTAAAATGCCCTGATGGAAAGCAACTTCAAGGAGCAAGTTTTTCTTTGGCTCATAGGAAGCCACTGTTCAGTTCAAGGTGTCAGATAAAAGAATCTTTTCATGGTCCTTTCTGAAGCTTCTCCCGAGGAGCCGTGGTTCTGGGGTCCCTAGCAAGAGCTGTGGTCTCTAGATGTCAGTCATGAATGTCTGCTTCCTCCCCCTGCAGTCCAGTGGTGTGAGTCAAACCACGACTCTTAAGAAGCCTGGTCCAGCCTCTTCATGTCCCCTTTCTTCCCTTTTGCCCAGAGTCTAACGGAGTCTGTGTTCATGGCTTGGCCATGGTGTTGGCAATGTGGGTCTGAAGCTCTCTGTCCAGCACGGGCTCACACTGTTTGGTGCCCCTGACTCTTGGTGGCCTTCAGCCAGCTTTCTGGAGATGACCAGCTTGAGATCGTGGGTACCCTGTCCCCATCTTACAGCTCTGCTGACCTCCACACTCTGTCACCGTTGTTAGGAGACTGTAAGATCTCGCCTGAGCCTGCTAGCCCCCGGCTCCTCCGCTCCTCCTCTTTCGGGACCACTGCCTTCTGTGATAGGTGCTTTCTTGCCCTGACAAAGAGCTCTTTAAAATAGTTTTTTCCTGATAAAATTCCCAAGTCATATCTCTAAAAACATACAGAGAACATTATAAAAGAACCAAGTAAGTCAATACCAGCATTCTACTTGATAAGCAAATCCTGGAATCGTGGGAAACCACTGGCCCTCTCACATGGCACCTGACATCTCAGTGTGCCCTAAGGGTCAGGGCTGTGAGCCGAAGACCACTGTGGTTTCATCTGAGCCTTGTGTTCTCTAGTGAGGACTCGGACCTCTGCCAGGCCTGTCTTGCAGATTTCAGACCCACGTGTGAATAAGCCCCGGACATCAGTATACATTTAAAGAGACTTTGCTGAACCTTGTCCTGTCCACCTGTAGTACTGACTGAAGAGCCTAGCCCTCACCATGGTGTTGGCCCGTTCTAGGTGAGGGGGCTGTGTTTGGAACCGGCCTGCTACCCTCCTGCCAGCACTCACCCCAGTGCACTGAGCTCACCATCCCCAGGTTCAGAAGCTCAAACTTAGGGCTACACCCAGGCTACACCCAGTTCTCCGGTGACCATAGTGACATTAGAGGTACAGACTAACAGAGCCTTTGTGCACACACATACCTTTGAAAGGAACTTAGTGTCAAGATTTTAGAGTTGAAAATTGGCCTTCATGATGAGGATTCATGAGGCTAAGCCAAAGTTTCTCTGTAGCCCGTAGTTTCTGAGGTGGGGACTGGGGTTCTGGGAGTCATCTGTTTTCTGTCCTGCCCAATGTGATCAGGGTTATGGTGGCCTTGATGCTGGCTTTTACCACAAATGCTCTGTGGTGACTGCACGTCGCACGAGAGCCTGGCAGAGAGTTCTAGAGCAGGTAAAGTTCCATGTGGTTGCAGCTGAACGCTTTTCCTAATTTCTTCTGAAATTTTGTTTTATTACAGTTATTTGTTTATGTATGTGTGTGGGAGTGGCATGCAGAGATCAGAGGGTGACTTGTGGGGGTCAGAGTCGTCTTTCTAAACCACGTGGGACCTGGAGTTCTCCTTATTTGCCATGTGGGGTCTGAGGAGCAAACTCATGTCTTTGGGCTTGGAGCAGGTAGCAGTGCCGTTAACCCAGTGAGCCTCTCGCCAGCCCTCAGTTTCTAATTACAACTGCTCACCTGCCCTTTAGTCAGTAGTGGTGTAGCGATGTGTACCAAGATAATAGGATTTCTTTGCCCATTTCTTAGCTGATTGAAAACTGACAGCCTGCCTGGCACAGTATTACCTCTCTCTGTATCTTCACTCCTGACAGAGCTATTGAGAGTAACCCAACCACAGCATGTCCTTGCTGATCCCAGCCCTAGTCCTGGCGTGAGGCAGGCATGCCCTGGAAAGTCTGTCTAGCCTCTCCATGCTTTGTGTGTCACTCTGTTCTGATGAGAAGTGGCTAATGACCCCTTTTACATTTTGCATCCCACAGGGGGCCAGCCACATCACCGATGCTCTTCGGGAGAGGTGGCACCCACCGCGCTCTCCAACGGAGACCAGAGTCACAGACTTGGGAATAGCCTGCCAGAGAAAGACCTCAGCGAGCCCAAGGTGGGGATTGCCACGCCATCTATGTCCATACTTGAAAACAGCAGCAGAGAGACTGCCAAAGGTCTTGAGCAGCATAGATTCTTTCTTGACTTAAAGATGCCAGCATTTCGCCCCAAGCAGGAGGTGCCCAGCACTGTTGACCGGGTAGACTTCCCTTCAGGCATGGAGACTAGCCTGCAGCTCACCGTGGACAGCCAGGCTGGGCATCCAAAAGAAAAGCTGTCTGATGTGCACAGGGAGCACTGTGGGGCAGGGAAGCGGCCCTCCGCCCCTGACCTGGCCCCACTGGACTTGAGCATGAGGTCCAGCCGGGATGACCCCAGTAGTAAGGAAGCATCCTCCCTGCAGGCAGCCCTGGTCATTCACCCGTGTCCTTACTGTAACCACAAGACCTACTACCCCGAGGTCCTGTGGATGCACAAGCGGATCTGGCACAGGGTCAGCTGCAGCTCTGTAGCGCCTCCATGGACTCAGCCTAACGGCCACAAGAGCATTCGAAGCAGCCTGGTTTTCCTTGCTCGCAGTGGGCGCACAGGCCCTCCGCCTGCTCTTGGGGGCAAGGAGTGCCAGCCCCTGCTCCTTGCTCGCTTTGCACGCACCCAGGTGCCAGGTGGGGTACCAGGATCAAAGGGCAGCTCTTCTCCCCTTGGGGTGACTGCAAAAGCCGCTAGCATGCCTAAGAATAAGGAGAGCCATTCCGGGGGCCCCTGTGCTCTGTGGGCCTCTGGCCCCGATGGATATCGACAGACCAGAGCTGGCCATGGCCAGGAGCCTTCCAGTGCTGCAGTGCAGGGACCCCTGACCAAACCCAAACAGGAGGCCAGCTCCAAGTTGGCACCTTCCCCAAGCATCGGGGGCCTCGGCAGAAGTGCCACCCCCACACCCTCAGTCATAACCCGTGCTGGTGCACAACCCTCAGCCAATAGCAAGCCCGTGGAGAAACTCGGGGTCCCTGCAGCAGGGCCTGGCTTTGCCCCTTCGAATAAGCACAGTGCCCCAGACTCTCTGAAAGCCAAATTCAGCCCTCAGCCTCAGGGTCAGCCTCCTTCGAAAGGCGAAGGAGGCTCTCCTCTACCTCCCCGAGAAGGCCCTGCAAAGGTGGCCCAGGAGCCGAGAACTCTAGCCACCTGTGCGGCAGGATCCAGAGGGGACACGGCCTCGCAGGCTCCACCTGGTGCACCCCCCACCATACACTCCATCAAGCAGGAGCCGGCAGCTGAAGGGCAGGAGAAACGCTTGGACATCCTCAGTATCTTTAAGACGTACATTCCAAAGGACTTCGCCACACTCTACCAGGGCTGGGGCGTCAGCAGCCCCGCGCCTGAGCACCGAGGTAAGAAGGGTGGGTTCCCTCATCCCTGGCTGCTCTGAAGGTCATGGATATGCAGACCTCCTGCCTCAGTCTTCAAGGCAGACACCAGCGAGTTGCTACCTCCTCTGGACCTGGCTACCCAGGAGTTCAGCAAATCTCTCGGGATTGTGCCTGGGACAGCAGTCACCATTCTTTGACTGTCCCCTTCCTGTGGGCTAAACTAGAAACTTAGTTGTTTACTCTGTACTGCAACTTGGCAGGAGCAGACAGGCCTGACTGTACTTGTTGTTGTCACTTTAAACAAATCATTGGCACACATCCACTGTCCTTGTCTCCCAAAAGAGAACCGTCCATCTGAAGTGATGATTCAGTCTTACCTTGTGTGTGAGTGATATAAAAGATGCAGAAGCAGCACCTGCAGGCAGGGTCTTGCAGGAGATAGATGCATGCCTGAGGACAGCAGGGTTGAGCCTGCTTTCCCTCCTCGTCCTGTGTCATTCTTGACAGCTGGAAGTGACACTGGTCAAATCTCCCGGGTGCTTGGGGCCAGGAGGGTTTTGGGTTTTGGATCTTTTGAGATTTTGAAATAGTTACCTATGCATAGTATTTTGAGGACAGGGCCCAGGTCTAAAGAATTCATTTCTGTTTTCACATGAACCTTTCACACACAGGTGGAGGTGGAGGTGCGGTCAGTGATTTTAATATGTTTGTTCATGAGCCGATGAGTGGTGTGAGTGATACTTTAGGTTCTGGAGCACTTTCACATGGATGTTTGGAGTTTCATCAGCCAGTAGCATTCATAAGAACTTTCCAGTAGATTTCCCTTGCCAGTTGGACATGTCTTGGATACAGTGATCCCGTACAATGGCCCTGTTCTTGAATGTAAATCAAAGACCTCTTTCACTTAACAGTGTAACACTGGGGAAATGGAGGGCCTGTTTTTTTTTTTTTTT